CAGGGGCGGCGAGAGGCTTCACCAGAGACAGAGTGGGGAGCAGAACAGGCAGATCGACGAAGTACACTGCTGAGGGATGCAGCGGGCGGGCCAGGAGAGGTCTGCCATACCATGTGGTCACCTCCGGGGCAGGCAGGAATCGAACTCATGCGGAAGTTGTTTAGCTTTTCAGTGTTGTGCCTTAACCCGCTGCGCCACCAGGGAGGGCCTATTTTCTAATTTTTTTTATGAGTATGTATTTTCCTGATTTTTTTGTACTTTCCATAATTTCTAAAATCTTTATTAAAGAGGGGATTTATTTTGTATCTGAGCATAGTAAGTCTTCATTTAACATCAAATGTATGTCTTTAGAAACTGACTTTAACTTTACTTATGATGAGGCCAGGTCTTTGAATAATATCATTTTGTTCAACATTTGCTGTATTCTTTTTTTTCTCATTAATGATATAACAAAAGGATGTTGAGTAAAGAACAATATCTGAAGACCTGCTAACACAGATAGAACAGCTCCTTGGTTGTCTTGTGGAAACCTTGTTTTCCTGTAGTTGAACTGACAAGCTGCGTTTTGGGTTAGAATTGGAGTTAGTTTTTCCTTGTTCTACTTTTAGTGGTACCCCAAGACCCTCAAATCTGTGACATATAATTTATTCTATAAACTGTCAATCTGGGATTTTAAACTTTAATTATTTCATGTGGCTGCTATTTAGATGACCACACTCCTTTCTGGGCACCCTGTCCTAAAACCGGTTACTTAGAATTCAGCTCTTAGGTGGTTGATTTCTGTTTGCCATGATTTGCTGGTGGTAATGCTTCGTATTGGAGAGTAGACATAGTAGACACCGTCTTCTTTCATTTTACAGTAAATGACACACATGATTATTTAAACAAATTGAACATAGGCACTGGAAAAAGGGAAATAAGATAATTTATATGTCTATTTTATATATGTATTTTTATTATAAGGTATTTATTGTTTACAGTACAGTTTTTTTGTATTATTGTTTTGTTTTATTTTGT